TTAGTCGCACGCGAGGAACACATGATGCAATTAAATTTCCCAGTATCCCTTTCACTCTAATTTCATTCCGTCGAAACTACACTCGAAGGTATGTATGAAGTGTTGTATATTATTAAATTTACAATTGTAAAAATTACACTGTAAATTACGACGATAATAATAGAATGAAATGTACACGCTGGTTTTTGAACAGTGCCTGAGAACTTGTAAATGAAAGTTTTATATAAAACGAAAGTAGAAAGAAATTCAGTTTCAAATGTCTGAACGTTTGCTCGAAAAAATACTTGATTGTAACGATTGAACTTTGCATTCAATTGTTACGCGAAAGATTGTAACTATGGTTGGTTCTACGGTGATGAACGACATACTTTTCATTATCATAGATTTTCTATTAGTGGACTTAATAGTTTTAATTCTCAATTATAATATTATAAGTCATCAGTAAAAATAAATTAATATATTAGTTAACCACTATATGTTAGATCACACGAAATAGATGTCACATGTAAATTTTGCCTTCGTCTCGAATAATGAAAATGTTACACAATTACTTGGAATATTTGTTTCAATCTTGCACTGTTCAATACATATCAAAGAAAATTACAAATGTACATTTTATAATGTATAAATGAAACAATTTAAGCAATTACATCTTTACCAATATTTCATATGATTTGGCTGAATTATACGAACAATATCGTATATTGTAATGAAATAATTGTAATAAAGTGTTGTTACTCCTTTCAATTGTTAAATAAAATTATTATCTAAAAATTTACTGCTCATTACTTAAGTTTGAAACCTAAGTTGTTCGCGAATAATTTTGACGCAAATTCCGAATATACTGTACGAGGAAAAATAAATTATTATTACAGCAAAAAATGTTTGGATTTATTAAATAAAAGTTACAAATCTTTATGCATGCACTTTGTAGATCAACTGAATATGATAGCTTCGAGTCTAATGAAGCAGACGCTTATATAAAAGTTCATAAATTAATCCGTTTTATTGGTTTTTTTTTGCAAATAAAGTTTGATCGATTCGCAGACATTGAAATGCTAGCGTCACATAGCGGTGAAATGGTGGAACTAATTTATATTACTGTCCTTGTCGCACACTATTGTTGCTCCTTGTCTAGAAATAGTACCGCCATCTACGCCCCTCTCAAATCAAATTGAAACTAAAAGCATGAAATGGAAAAATTCGATAGATGGCGACACGTGTACCGATTGAAATCGGCAATAGATTCTTTAGTTGCAACAATGCTCGATGGATGGCAGCACATGTACCTGTCTCAGCAAGGAGACCAACAATGTATGACAAGAACAGACTTATATCGTGTGGTAGACAGAGAGCAGTAATGTGCGACGAGGACATCAATAAAATTAGTTCCACCATTTCACCGCTAGGATTTCAGTGCCCGTGAATCGATCAAATTTTTATTTACAAAGAAAAACTAATTAACCTGATTTATTTATGAACGTTTATTATTGCGTCTTTTGAATTAGATCTCAAGTTTTTTTTGGTATTTCAGCTAGTCTATAAAATGCATGCATGAAGATTTATAAACTTTATTTGATGAGCCGGAACACTTGTTCCAGTCAATGCTTTGTTCAAATAATTTTTAATTTCTCGTAAGCTATGTTTAAAATTTTCAAAAATATTTCATTTTTGAAAAATGAAAATTGCCAGCGGCCTATATGTGAAATATTAATTTCTTTTCACAACGTTCATTTCAGAATTATTAAGTCGCATTTCGTTCGGAAACTTTTTTATATTCATTGCAAAATGAATTAGTATAATACAAAATTCGTGCGTGATTCGTCCTTGGATTATATTTTTCATATAAATTGTGCATAAAAGCTGACAAGTTGTACAATTAACTTCAAGTAATAAAGTAATATTCAGTTTAACATTCAGAAATGTTCTGTTTAGGAAAATATATTGCAAAATGATTTTTCAGGAATCAGTAGTCAGGAAATTAAAAAACTATTGTTTTACGCTTTTACTTTCTTGAATGTTCCTTGGAATGCGCACGCCTATAAGTACAGATATACAAGAATCCTACATTTCCTCTTCCTTTGTCACGACCGAAAATTAGTCAAGCCTACGTCTAAATTTCAACGAACTTCGGACCTAACGGCACATTTGGTGTATTGTAAAAATTATTACCGTTATTTTCATCAAGAAATTTATAACTATTCGAAGCTTTGTTCGAAGAAAGTATATGACTTTCGAGGACACTTTCAAGCAGTTCTCGTCTTTCTCATGAGGTGTTCAGTAGTCCAAAACTCAGTGTATTAAGTGTCTCGTTCTTTCTTGGTGTCCGAGTTTCTCGTGTATTTTCGTTTCTTTCAGTGAATCAACATGCCGAAAAATAAGGGTTCGTAAATAATTGTGCTCTTCTCTTTGCTTGCTTCCCTCGTGTAAAATTCTTTAGATTTTCGTGCAAACAGCCGTGCAATTTCCACGCAATGTGGTTAGTTTGTTCTAACCTGTTAGTGTCAAGTTTTTCTCTGAGATCGTTAAATGCATCGCGGCAGAAATCGAGCACTCCTTTAAAAAATTTACAAGAGATAATCTCGAGGTAATAATAATCTTTAAATTTACTTTTTTTGTAGGAAAGGGAGGTAAAAATAGAAGAAGGGGTAAGAACGAAAACGAAACAGAGAAGAGAGAGTTGGTTTTCAAAGAAGATGGTCAAGGTAAAAATTTTGAAAATAATTTGTCACGATCTTTCGCGTTTTGTCGACGCGAGTCTCTTAAATTGCGTTTATTTAATCTAAGGATATACCATATGCTCGCAATTATAAAATAATAACATTTCAAATAGTGTTGAAACTTAATGAAAAAGAAAAAAAAATTTCGTTACGTGCAATTACGAAACACATTCCGATCAACCACCAACTTTTGTGTTTCTTGTTAATGCAGAATACGCACAAGTCACAAAAATGCTGGGCAATGGGAGGTTAGAAGCAATGTGCTTCGACGGTGTAAAACGATTGTGTCACATTCGTGGAAAATTGCGGAAAAAAGTGTGGATAAATCAAGGAGATATTATATTAATTGGTCTGCGAGACTATCAGGATGCAAAAGCAGACGTCATATTAAAGTATACTTCAGATGAAGCTCGTAACTTGAAAACGTACGGTGAATTTCCTGAAACTGGTAAGTGTGATCACCATATTTCAATGTCCCACACTGAAAATATAAACGTACATATTTTTATGCCTGATATTTGTTTAGTGCGTATCAACGATACAGTCACCTTTGTGGAAGATGGTTTCGATGAAGATATTGAATTTGGTGATGAAATTAGTGATGACGATGAGGATGATGTTGACAATGTGAGTGTTCAATATTTTCAATAAAATCTATAAAATATGTTGCTATTATAAAATGAAAACCTATACAGTTATAGCTAGTTTCTGTCACATTATATAATTTAACTTGAAAGTAACACAATATTTTTGGCTTTACAGATCTGATGACCTTCAATATAAATATACTTAAAAGGTATGGTACAAGAGTGCATGAAGATACCTATTTGTTTTACAAAGTGCTATAATTTCTTGCGCAATTACAATACTACAAATTTTTTGGAACAAGTAGTCAATTTCCTGTATCTATAAATAAATTTTCACTTGTCTCCATGTAACATTGTGTTGCAATCTAAAATTGTTTGTTAAACGTCCTGGATTTTCAGGATTTACAAATATTAATGGACATTTGATATTCTCTGTGCAGCCTATCTTTTACTTTCGTACAACTTGAATTAGAAAAATAATGTCCCATTGCGAATGGATATAAAAAGAAAATATTGTTCTTCTTTAAATTACTTTAGAATCTCTATTCAAAGTAATTTAACGTTAGAGTAAGCTTTTAATTGCTGTTTGGCTAATAGTTTGGTTATTACGAATACAAATAGTTATGTATTATTTATGTATGATATCAGTACATTGTTCTTATAGGAAATTTCTTTTGTATATTCTTTCTTTAAAAACCAAATTAAGTAGCATATGTGCACTGTCAGTGGAATTTCGAACAGGGGAAATAGTAAGCAGCATATGTCACTGTAATTACTTCTGTGTGAAAGCGTTTCATTGACTCATTTGTTATATGTATAGACACGTACAACTTTCCAGAAACTTGTTTATGCGATTGTATTCAAGAACAGTTTAATGTAATATTCTACTACTTCTAATGAGAGTTATTAATTGTGAATATAACAAAAGCAATATATAACTATCAATATTAACACAAATTTTATTTAAGAGCGTTTGTTAGACAAACGAAATCATCAGTAACATCCGAGAACGACATATTTAATTCAAAAAGATAAAAGAAAAGCAAATTACTTGAAATGCGAGATTACTTATAAACATACATTATTATTTCTCTTTTCTGTATACTTTATATTGGAAAATTGTCAGAATGTTCAGGTTAACTGCTATATGAAACATTAATTCCATGAACATGTACTAAGTGAAATTAATGTCAACTGTTAACAACGAATAAAAATATATAAAACACCAAGTTTAGTTTATTCATTTGGATCCCTTTTCATTTGTATGTTGTACGGAAATTTGTTATTCAAACGTAACAAAAATCAGTGGAATGTAATAACCAGGATTGGGTATAATTTCATATTCCTGACGTACCAACGTGCTTTTGTTACAAGTACATCAAGAATTGCGATGCAACAGTTTATTTATTACATTGTCGTTGATAACTCTATCACACAATAGTATGTATATGATAAAATCATATCTTTCCCACTTCTGTTTACTTTTTGATATCGTACGCGTGTACAATGGCTTTATAATTTTAATATAACATTGTATTAGTTACAGAGGAGTCAAGCGGAGGGAAATTAGAATAGCCACGCGGCATATACGCCGGTTATTCGTCAAACCGAAACCATCAAATGTACAAAAATTACGTTCAGAGTTAGATAGAAGCGCACTGATGCGATACTGAATGTTAAATACATTTTGATTTGAACGCATGTACGTGAAAGGACGTCGAATCTTTTACATATTTCGTTACTGACAAATCATTTTTTCACGCGAAATCGCAGCAACAGAACGATCGTAAGGTATTAAAAGCGAATCTATCGTAAATCTTTAGTCACAGTGCCAACATTGTTTACCTTACAGATTTCAATTGAATTTCATGACCTATGCACTTTGTTAAGAGATTTAATTACTACACTTCTCCCACTGAGTATTTCAATTATAATTGTAATTAAATTAGAATTGAACAAATGAATCAATGTTACGAATATTCAAAGAGTCTTCACTCGTATTAAAGGTTCAGTTTGGGGCGTGAAATAGATTTATGCCACCATGTTCTCGATCTAAGAACATGGTGGATGATGAGCTTAGGCAATTACAAAATACGTATGTATGTTTTATAGCGTAACATTACTGGCTTCTTCGTAGTTATGATTTATGAACAGACATACATTGATGGATGCATACGATAGGCAAAAAAATGTTCAGATCTGAATTGAAATAAAAATAAAATAATTGATATATACAATCTTTTGCAGATTACAAATAAAATTTATATAATTTAAATATATCTTTAAAAATAAGTTCTCATTTGAAAATAACAGCAAGAAATTTTTTTCTTCCACCAGAAAAAGTAGAATAATTGAACTAAGTACGACGTGGTTCGTTCTTTGACAAAAATAATTATCAGACAAACTATGAACGAAATATAGATTAGCCAGTGAAGTTACGGTGGTCGACGTTGAGATTATTTGCATATCTTTTTATCAACGTACTCAATAGAGTAGTATAGATAGTAGTTAGTGTTAGTAAAAAATGTACTAGTATACTGCAGAGAAAATGACAGCGAATAAAAAAACTCTGTCGTCAATGGACTGCAATAATAGTTCGTCGTGTTACATCGGTTGTTCGCGTCGTCGTGTAAAAGGGGAAAATAGTTTTCTCGTCTTGTAATAAAAATGATGTTGTGTTATCGTAACAGTCGGAATATTTAAATGCCAGTATCGCAACGTCCGTAATGAGTTACAATAAATGTTACGACAGTACATAGGAGCATAATGTTTTATTTTGATGCGTGTGTGATTGTGCCTTTGGTCCTTAGGTCAGATAGGCTCTAGGCAAGTCTATTAAACATAGAATAACAGTCATTATAGATAATAATTTATAAACTTCAGATGCATAATTATATCTTCTCAATATATTGTACATTAATAGAATACCTTATTTAAAGTATGTATATTTATATATAATATGTATATATATATATATATTTTTTTTCCTTCTTTTTAAATACATACTATATACGATTCTTTTCTGTGCCTTTTAAAACTGTGTTATACATTGAAAGCTAACGTTGCTTAAGTATTTAAGACGTGTTTCGAGTCGCAAAAGTTTAGACAACACATTTGTTTTCTTCTTCTTTTTTTTTATTTTTTTTTTTTT